AATAATTTAAATCACAGAGTAAGTGTAACCAAATTTAGAAATCAGCACATAAATTACCAATTGAAAAATTAAGATACCAAAAAATACCCTCAGAGCAAAGATTTTGCACACTGTGTTCTGATCAGTCTGTTGGTGATGAAATGCATGCTCTTTTTGACTGCAAACTGGATGAAATTGTAAAGGCACGTAGCTACTTTTGGAATACTCTATCATTATACAATGATAATATTTTAAAATTACCAAAAGAAGATATGTTTGTGCATATTATGGGAATAAAAGACAGTTTCATTGCCAATAGTCTAGGAAAGTTTATTAACACAATTTTACAATGTAATACCTAATAATTGTTAGTGTTATCTGTTTTAATATTTTATTGTATTTTTAATATCTGTATTTCTTGTTATTGTGTTGTTGTTGTTTTTTGTGTATGATTATTGACCATGGTTAATGTATTTCCAATTCATTAATTTGAGTCAAATAAAATATACTATACTATACTATACTATACTACAATAAAATTATGAAAAAATATCTTGAATAAAACATTATAAAAACATTACAGTGAAGTGGAAAGAACCAAATTATGGGAATCTAGATTTATAAAATAACTAATCTAAAAATCGCTATAAAAAGTCAACCGAGACAAGAAATATATGTAATTTATAACTTCACTCAAAACAATTCTGGAACCACAGGAAATACTGTAGTGGAAAAAATCACTATTTAAAAAAATAATTAAAAAAATGAAATCAAAAATAATTTGATATCATGCCCAACTTATTAACCGCAAACCAAGCAAAATCGGTTGAGGAGATTTAGAAATAATCGCCTCCTTTACACATGTAGCCAATCAGAATGCCGCTTACAGAATGGTGCCCCAGGAAAGACGGATTTTTCTCCAATATTACCAAGACACAATTTTTCATATGTTTTGCACTGATTGATCACACAAGGGAAAGCTATGTGGTTGGGTGTGATGGGGTGTATGGAGGTGATGGAAGTGATAGGATAGGGTAGAGTGTTGGTGTGTGATGAGG